TCTGGCTATTATTCCTGCAGAACAATTCACTGTAATGTTGAAATTAGTCTGGCTTGCAGTTAATGTAGGATGTGGCATAAGATTAGAGGTAATGGATTGCTAGTGGATAACCATATGGAAATATGAAATGGACCAATATTTGAGTTCTGCTATTTTCATCTGAATTGCTAGAACGGCTACAGAAAACACAGCAGGTGCTGCTCGCTATCTCCAGCTGAAAAACTATGGATAACCATATTGATTTGTTTGCCTCAAAACAACGCTGTCAGATTTATGTAAGGGTGCTAAAAATCAGAAGGATCAGGCATAGTCAGGTCTTGTCCTGTGCTGCTTTGTATCACTTATTCCTAGCCACCTATACCCTACATCTCAAAAGAATAAATTGCTGTGATTCACAGTCCTAAATGTAAAGACCTTTGCATTTGCACATTAGTGTATATCTAACTATATACAAATCTCCATGTTTGTCAGCAGCTGAAGTAGTAGTTTGCCCTGCCATTCAGAGATATTATTATCTGTGTGGGAATTACTATCTGTAGTACTCTGATAAAAAGGAATGCTTAACTCCTGGAAGAATCACATCCTTTCCTTGAACTATGGGGAATATTTAGGAATTAAAAAATACCTTTATGCAATTTTATTTCTATTTCCATGGATTTTTTAATCTCTCTTTAATTACAATTCTACGCATCTGGAAGACTATGCAAATCGGGCAAAAGGATTTTCTTTTTCATTGGGCAGAGTTTATTGCCTTAGGCTTTGCTGCCTCTGACATGTTTCCTGTGAAGTTCAGTATGGCTTAGATCAAAAAGCAAACACAGCCCATGATTATAATGATGGAAAGCCTCTGGCTTAGTGCAGAGATGAGCCTTGTGGAAATCTGGTTCAGATAATAACTCATCTTAAGATTTAGGGGTGGAAGAGGTTTTTTAACTCCAAATGTTAGCAGTTCCTGGTTTTTTTTCTTTAAAGACAACTTAATAGAATTTGTATGCACATTATCTCCTTACACTTTAACCTGCATAAAACAAAAAAGAAGACCCCCCCCCCCAGGAGCGTCAAGTCAAGCTGCCCCCCTTCTGTCCCTCCCTCCCACTGGACAGATTTACAGCTGCTCCCTGGCAGGGACTGCACTCAGAGAGGGGAGTGCTACACCAAGGAGAGTGCTGCTGCTTTCTCTAGTACTGCTTTCTCTTTTTTATCATTTGGGGTGTATGCTGAACATACAGACTTTTTCAGAGCATGGAAGTCCTTACCCTAGCGGAAAGGAGGAAAATTATCAGGAGTTTTGCCACGCTGAAGAAACCTGCAGAAGCTAAACATCCAAACCTTTTCACACCCAGTGTGATTGTAGCCCTGTGATGGCCCTGAAAACCTCAGTGGCTCTAGTTCCAGCAGATTTTAAGAGGTAGCCCTGGCTCCACTCAGCTTCCAGCAGGGCACCTGCCCAGCTCCCACCACAGAGGGAGCTGTCAGTGTATTGATTCATATGTATTTGCTTCTTTCTCACAAGAGAACTTTATGAAGTTGCATTTCCCCAGGCAAATGAGCTGTTATACAAAAGAAACAACCCAAAATCACATTTGTGGTTGCAGCTCATGAGCTGCCTCTGTCTTTCTGATAACAATGTAAGTTCATTTCTATCGTCTGAAGTGGCAGGTAAAACCTGCAGGCTGTGACATGCAACCACAAAACCACTTCTGCCCTTGGAGGCAGCCACCACCTCTGTGAAGCCCTTCCAAAGAGTGCGGGACAAATGCCACGGAGAAGAGCGAGCCTTGGTACAATTTGTGCTGCCACACTGGAGGAGGAGCTGGTTTTTCTCAGCAGAAGCACCCTCCCCAGATCCAGATCTTCACTAATCCTCAAACATTCCTTTCTCCCTTGCCACCATACACTGAGCCCCACAAGAAGCTGAACGTGGAGCCTGCGGGTAGTAACCAATAGCTGTGGTTTGGGCTGGATGCCCTTCAGCAACTGTGCAGCACAATACCAGAAATGCAGCATTTTATTTCTAATTCACATCTGCAAAGAAGCTAACACAGGGATGGGAAGCCAGGATGAGATGCACAAATTGGTTTTAGATATTTTTCCAGGAAAAGAAAAAGCAGCAATCTCTCAAGCTTCGATGCCCACATGCCCTAATATATACCACCATTCCTAAGTCATTCCTCATTTTCCATGTGGTAAAAGAAAATTAAACTTTTTTTACGAGATTTCACCTGTAACAGCACAACACACTTTTTAGGGTGAAGTTTGTTGAAAACAGTGGAGAGGAAGCAATCCCCAAAAGCTTGGCAGGCTAACAGCGTTTCAGGGCGCTGCTAGATCCTGAGTTCATGCAGCAAATTAAGGGGAACTCCCTCAAGAAAATTGGACTGCGTATTAAAAAAAATAATCCTACAACCTTTAGCCTCAGCTAACATTATTCTGACACTAAAATGTCTACCTAGAGACAGCTGTTTCCTCTTCATGACTAAATACATGAGTAAATGTATTCCATAGAACAGAACTACAGTATTATTTCATTTGCCATGCCTATTTCTGTTTCTTCTTTATTTGCTTCCTCTTTTATTCCCCTCTTATATTCTTTGCTGGATTTGCTGAAGTTCATGGAAGGGCCTTTCCTAGCAATATTTACATCTCTGAGTGTCTTTTGCCACTAAGAAATAGCAAAAGTTTCTGGGAGTGCATTTTTTTGTGGAAGAGGCAGCAGAAATGCCTACAACTGTAAGAAGTCTACCTTGAGGTCTTTAAAAACCCCCAAAAAACCATAAATACAGAAAAAACTCTCATCAAGTAAGTGGCCAACTAAGCACTTACCATTTTTTATGCTGTGATATATTCTGGGTTTCCTCTGGTGAAGTAGTTTTGATGCAGGCATTGCATCATAGTTTATCAATATGGCACATGCCCAAAATGGGAACATCAGCCTCTCTGTGCACATCTGGATGGGCTTGCTTCTGGACAGGGTGAAAAAGGACACTGAAAAGGCTAAGGGACTCAATGTCCCCATCTTCCTGGTCTTACTGGTAAGAGCAGCCTTCAGGAACTACAGGCCTCTGACCCAGAGGAAGGTTTGGAACAGAAAGATGTGCCTTAGTGGAGGAGGACCAGGTTGGGGAATAAAAGTTAATGCACTTTTAATACAGTGACTCCAAAATACTTTATCTGGGACTGCAGAATTCAGGTGAGTTGATTTTCTGGATTATTAAACAAATAACAGATCTCTTTAAGAAGAGTTCTGATTTCATTACCCTTCATTCAACTACCTAGAACAAGTTCTCTTGTAATAATGATTTTTTCCAGAACATTGAAATAATTTCAGCTTTATTAAATAAGTAATCTTTTAGACTACTCGGGCTCCCTGAATCTTAAAAAAAACCCAACCGAAATGGCTCTAAAAGGTTAAAAATTATTATACTGCTTTTAAATTCTTTAAGGCTTAAAGTATGATATTGCTGAGGCTACGAACTACATGTGGATTTCATTTCACAGTGAAATCCCAATAAAAATTCTCCTTGGAGCTCACCTTTAAATACAATTAGGTATGAAATTTTCCTTATCCAGCCCAGAGCCAGAATTGGCAGCAATGAAGAGGCCAGCAGTATAACCCCTGAGCTGTCCAAGGGTACATATATACACATTATACATACAGTGCATGTGCACGGACCTGTGGGTAGGGCTGGTCCCACCAGCAGTTGGTTTATAGACAAAAGTGTGATTATTGTTACCTCTAGCCATGATCATTTCCATATACAGTAACTAAAACATTATCTTATTGTCCAAGTAAAGAACTTTCTGGAGCCTCCTAATCTTTGAACACCAGCTGTGCCTTCAGGAGATGAAATACTCATTTTAATGATACAAGCTTTTATGAAAGCCTTGCAGATGTAAATGACTGCTCCCTCAAGACCACTTAATGACAAACCCCTTTATTTTTAAATAGTCTTTTAAGAAAGTTCCCAAAAACAAAACATACCCAGAGTATTCACTTTATTGCCTTGGTTAACTACTTGGATATTACTTTTCCCTGCACTGTTTGTACCTGCTAGGGTTCTTCCAGTCTATTTCATTTTCATATGGAAGGTTTACCTTCATCTACAATGTGTTCTATCACTCATTCAACCTCCTTTTCCAACGTTGTTTTTTCACTACCTTGCCCACCTCTACTCTTTGTAGGTGCTTTTTCAGAGCCTTATACTTACTGGCACAGAACCCATTTTTCTCTTGGTTCATGTTGCTGAACTCTGCCCTGAGGAGAGGCAGCTGGTCGCCCTCTGACCCAGTTCCTCTCCACCAAGGTTCCAATTTCTGGGCCTGAACATTTTTATAGCAGGTTGTTGTTTTGTGCTGATCCCAGCCTAGCATAGGAACCTGGCAGAACCTGTAACCACCTCCATCACAAGCCGATACACTCCAAATCATAGGTATGCAGTTTTGCAGAAAATATGCAGGAAAAAAATCTAATTTGGATGTCCCCATCTGAGTGGAAAGTATAATTTTGAGCAAATTTAATAGATTTATTAACTTTAAAAGAACATAGAAACTGATAACTTCTTTAGAATCCAAGTCATGACTGAGGCAAGGCATTTCCTTCTCCATCACTGTTCACGAACATTTTTCCACTATTGTGTATGTGAAAAGGAGGAAACCTTATCCTTAGGTAGTTGAGTGTCCTGTACCCAGCTTTCACTAGGGTGAAAAACCATTCTCTTCAATCCTTCAGGTCAGAAAAATAAAATCCTCAGGAGTTAATTACTTTTTAAAAGCTTTTAAGTCAGGTTTTCACAAACATATAACTAAGACATTTGCTTTCACTCTAATAGTTCCATCAAAGTGTTGTGGCTGAATACATCTCTTGCCCTTTCCTGTTTTAGGCCATGGACCAACTCCTGCCCCACATGAAGCCACAGTGTGCTAATGGTGGCCAGGATGGCCTCAGGTGGCCACCTTATTGGAAACTCCAGTCCACCAGGGATGAAAAAATACCCTTCTACCAATCTGGCCGCAAATTTTCATAAATGGGGAAATCACCAACCAATGGCTCAAACGCCTGAGCCATTCAGTATCCAGGGCTCAACTGTGACCTTCTGTTCCTTCAGAAGATGCTTGAGCAAGCCCAGCCCATGTAGTTGTTGGTGGTGATCTTGTAAAAGTGCCATATTTTGTATCTTCTTGTGTTCTTGATGGCAGGAATGAATTGCCACAAGGAACATGGTGGTTGGAAGAGTCTTGGCAGAAGTACATCCTTCCAGAGCTGCATCAGTTTATGCAGAGACAACTCTGCAGCAACAATGTCATGCAGAAATGCAAAGTAAATGCTGCAGGGTTTATATCAATTTTTCAGCAGCTCCTGTGCAATGAGCAAAGGTAAAACAGGCATGAAAGTAAAAAAGAACTCTGATGCATTCCCTGCATAGAGCAGGAAAGGCAAAGGCTGTGGTCCTCAGTATCAGTAGCCTGTGTATCATGTCCGGGAAATCCAGCCAGCGCTCTTTGGTGCTTTGCAGGTGTGAATGTCCACCACTTCCAGGCAGTCCTGGCAGCGCACAGCACAGCACCAGTGGAATTTGCACTCGCACTTGGTCATCCTGCTGACACGGGAGGTGTCGTAGCCTCTCCCGCAGCACATCACCTCACAGCTGTCCATGCCACGGGATGTTTGGTTGCACACCCGACCAGCTGTCCCAAGGGACCCTGCAAAGGGAACACAGC